GTGGGCAGTGTTCGTACGGTTTCACATCTCGGCGGGGTGCGGGGACGTGACGCCCGTGGACTCGGCGTTTTGCTCAAACCTTCATCAAACGCTACACATCTCGTAGGATCAAGAATTTGGCAACCGACAGTCGTTTGCATGGACTTTCACTAAGCAGGCTTATCTTCAGTTCCTGAAAATAAGGTAGCTCTAGAAGGGCACCGTGCCCTGCGGCCTGGCTGCCGTGGTGTGTGTGTGGAGGGCGCTGGGAGTGCAGACCTGAGGGTGCGCAGGGCGTCCGCTCGCGTCTGGGTGGGAGTCCAGAGGCGCCCGGGAGCTGTTCCCCGCTTCCACTGCACATTGGTGACATAGGACTGACACCGGCCCCCCAGTGCGAGCTGCCCTCACTCAAGCCAAGGCCCCGGTCACAGCCCCGTCGGGAAGGCCCCTCCAGCGCGGCTGCTCCTCCAGAGCCTCGTTGGGTTCAGGTCCATAAACTGGTTTTCTAGAGATTCTCAAAGTTAGTGTTATTTGCTCATTAGTTTAACAGGTTTTGGAAAGCAGGCAGCCATGTCAAAAATAGATTTTCCAGTATTTCCTTGAGAAAGATCATAAAAGAATTTGGAAATAATGTCAAAGTGACTCAAAAGCCACAAAATTTTATGACTGTCAATACAAAAATAAGTTAATCTGCTCCCCAAAGTGCACTGTAAAACCAGTCCGGTGTTGTGACTTGGGCCGAAGGCGGTCCCTGGAGGGAGGACGGGTGACAGCAGTGCAGGCCCGGGGGAGGCCTGGGGCCTCGACTTGTGAGTCAGTCCAGTACCTCCCCCGACTACCGGGGAGAAGCCGCAGTTCTCAACTGAGATGCTCTGCGGTCCCTGCATCCCACCGGCGGCGTGTGTCCAGACACAGCTAAGCCTCACGTGCAGAAGCCCCAGCGGAGGACCAAGCCCGTCTCCTGTGACCCTGCGGCCTTGGCCTGGCAGAGCCCACGCCACCCCAAAAACTCACATCACAAAACCACGGAGAGGTCGTGAACTTGAGTCCAAGTACGTCCTGCCGTCAGTTCTACGAGGCACAAACCGGAGGCCTCAGGAGTTTTCAAGAACAGCTGTGTGGACTTCTGCAGGACAGATGTTCCCCTTAGGTTATTTTAAGAAGAGGCCAGAGAGAAGCACCTGCCGCCACCATCCCGTCCCACCCTTGCGACTGTGGGGACGCTCCCAACTTCCTGGGTCAGGAGGAGAGGAGCCTGGTCTCCACCGTGAACGCAGTGCTCGCGGGTGGTTCACTTCGTGCGGCAGGGCCTCTTAACAAGGAAGAGCTGATGGAAACCTCGGGGGTCAGCGGCGGCCCGCGGTCAGGAGACCAGCGCCCGTGCCCAGCGCAGCTCACGTTTCCCAGGAGCAGACCCGTGAGTGTGGAAAGTCACTTCAGGTGGCAGCGGTTCTGACCTCTGGGTCCCTCCTCAGCCTGAAAGGAGCGCTTTCTGGAACTGCACGCGTCCCACGGGCTCTGGTCCCGGACAGACCGTTTCCCTACGTTGTCGCTGGACACGGGGCCAGCAGGGGGGCCGTGCCCCACAAACCTCACTCCTTCTGCAGTGAGAACTCAGGACGCATCAGTAAACACGCATGTCAGTCGTGGTAACTTGTGAACCAAGTTTAGCAAAAATATATTGAGAATAAAAGCCAGAAACTGGTAAGAAGCCAACTGAAAAAATATACAAACTTCCCCCAAGCACTGGTGAGAACCCCGGGGGAGGCTGCTCCGCGGGCCTGTGCAGTGAAGGCCAGCGCGGTGGCAGCGTCTGGGTCAAATCCGTGGGGAGCAGCCTCCGAGGAGGCCAGACACTAGCGCTGTCACCCATCCTGGGGCCGGCTTCTCAACAGGACGGGGGGAAGCATTTCGAGGAAAAATTTCACATTAGTACAAAAAAAAGTCATACGGCTGTTTCATAAGAGCAAAATAATGATCACAATCATGGTTTCCAAGGCGTTCAGGGTCTGAGTCCTTGCCCAGGCCCCGCCCTGGTCTCCCCTGAGTGCGGACGACAGGCAGGCAGGCCGAGAGCCGTCGTTGAGATCAGGGAGGAGAGTGATCCTTAGAAAAGACACTAATCTATATATTCCAGGTGAGATAACATTTCATATGCCAGTTAACTTCCAATCATAACTTCAACCTAAAAAAACAGAGCGGGAGGGAGGCCTGGCGCTCAGATTCAAGTGTGGCTGGAATGCGGGTCGCTGGCTGGTCTGTCCTCAGACGGCGTCAGTGCGGGCGCAGCGGGCGCTGCAGCGATGGCTCAGTGTGGGGAAGCGCTCCCTCCCTGGGAGGCCTGTCTGTCTGTCTGTCTTGGCGGCTGCGGGCTGCGTCCTCTGGCCAGGCCCACGGCCCCCGGCCCCCCTCGCCCCTCGACG